CGGTGCTTGGGGGGCGGCGTGGTGACCACGGGCAGCGCTGGGCTCCCCCCCGCCTCCAAACACGCTCCGCTCTCGCGACCCCCGCGCACCCCCGAAGTGTTGAGCAATTGGGTCCTGGCGGAGGAGAGGCAGCAACCCCAGCCCCCGCTTAGCCGGAGGTGCTTCCTGCTCCCCCTCCGCCCCCCGGACCCCTTTTGCAAAAGGATGCAATCGATGAGCCTGTTCGGCGGGGTCGGAGACTTTAAAGTCAGTAACTCCTTTGTGTTTGTATCGCATATTAAATTACAGCGCTCCCCTCCCCGTAGGTACTTGGTTTGCTTAGGTGACTTAAATTACGAAGTGGTAAGCAAAGCCAGACAGCCCAGCTCTGCAGCACGGCTGCCCGGCAGGAAGAAAAATGGGAGAGGTTTGCCCGGGAATCAAACGGGCCGGGGCGGGGGTTGCAAGTCACCTTTATTTACTGTAGCGTTGTTGAAACGGATCCTGAATCCCAGATAGCTATCACCAAAACCCGGCCTCAGTGAGGACTCCAGGTCTAAGCCGGCTTTCTCAGCAAAGAGGAGTTTTGGCTGTAATCCTCCTGAAATGGCTATAACTATGAAGCCACTAATCTAGTTTAGAAAATTTCCTTTTCTCCCCTAGGCTTAGTTTTGCCTGAGCATTTTAAGCTCCTTTTAGAAAAGTTAATGTGGTGGAGAAATTAAATACCTATCTTACTTAGGAAGGTATTTGTTTAGGAGATAAGCTCAACCCTGACCCCTCTTCCTCCAAAGAAAACACGAACACCTATTTTTTAGCTGGAAACCGTTAATTAATTTTCCAGAAAACGATTGCATGCTGCCCTCATCTTCCAGATACTCCAGTGGTTGCCATTGCTACATGTGAACTACAATACAATCCACGGCTTCCCTAGCCCAGCGGCTCTAAAATCTTTGGGTAGCTTTCCCCTTTCTAGGGAACTTGAAAATAACTGAGTGTCTTTTGTTATTTTGTTGTGGTCTGTGTCTGCTTTGTTCAGCCCTACAAGAGATTTAAATGCTTTGTTGGGGCATTAGGAAGAAAGGGTCTGCCTTCCTATTTGCTCTGTTTTTATTTTTACTATTGGTTTATTTTTTCTGTAAATCCAAGAGTTGTCTTGAACGTAGGCAAAACAATGACAGTGGTTAGTAAGAATAAAAAAAGCCAGTTTATATGAACACATGGAATTGGTTGAGCGATATATTTATTTATTTTTATTTCCCATGTCCTTGTTTTTATTTTTAATGATAACTCTTCTTTGACTTTTTTTTTTTCATAGGAATGTGGGTTGGAGGTTTTCCTTGAGATGCTGCAAGGCAGCAGTGTGATTTTTGGCTTGAATGCCGTTTGTCATAGCTACTTGTTCTCTAGTCTGCTAGGTTGTGTATCTGCCTCTGCTTCTCCCACCGATATTATTCTTGATGTTTGTTGACTTTCTGTCTTGGCTGAGTGTCCTTAAAAAATACCTGTGGTTTATTTATTTGCTTACCTAAAGCCACAACAGTTTTAATGGGAATGCCTGTGAGAAATAAAGATTTCTCTAGTATGGAAATATTTATTTGGTAACCTTAGTTAATTGGACTATTCATTACATTTATTTTGAGACTAGTAGCAATAAAGTTTCTGCAGTTTTAATGTTTTTGTAAGTGGGTAATTACTGTGCTCTGATGTGGTACCTTTAAGTAGGAATATTATATCCCTGCTTGGAATAATTACTTAAGCTGAATGCAGCAAGGAAAGAGTTGCAGAAGTAGAGGGTAATGCATCTGCAGGCATGGGAGCTTAGCCTCTGTTTCCTCTATTTCTTTCAGTATGAGTTCTTGTAACAGGGAAAAATCACTGATATGAGCTCAAGTCTGAGGTTCTTGTGCTCTCCCAGGAAGCCTGTACATGGCTGGCTGAATCTTGAAGTTAAACTACTTACTTGTGTGTAGTGCCTGAATACAATACATAAAGTGTATCGTGTATTTGGCAGTGGTTAGTGTATTTTGTAGTGCTGAAGAGTCAAACAATGTTTTCCAGTTTAAAGTAGCATATGGATGCTATCTAAAAGCCCTTTTTTCCTGTAAGAAAGGGGGAGTAGCAGAACCACAAAAACAGTGCATGGCCACCGCAGGAATTTCTCTTCTCTCTGTGGCAGAAGGCTCCGGAGTTTTGTAGGCACAGCTCACCCAAATCGCTGCCTTGTAACTTTCTCTCTAATCCCCAAATCACTGCTATTGTATCTGACCATTGCATAAAGAAATCCCCAGGAAAGGCCAGTTCTGTGTAATCCTCAGAGTGAAGCAACACGGTGATACTGGTCAGTGTTAATATAACAAACTTACATTTAATTTTCAGTTTGCTTGTGTTATGCTGTGACTCCCACACAAAACCTATTCCTTTTTCACTGTCTTCCTAAGTGCCAGGAGCTATGTAAGATTTCTATCTATCAGCTCCTGCAGTTATGTTTCTGATAAATTAAAACCAAAAAATACGCTGTTGAAAGTAACAGTAACCCTCACATAAAAAGAAAATTGTGTTCACAGAATCAGAGCTTTCTGCTATACTCAGATAATGCTTGCAAGAAAACATCTTTTTTCCTAAGTAGAAATGTATAACTTGTAATGTAGAAACTTCAACATACAGTTTGAACTACTCATTTGCCCAAAAGTAGTAGGCCGATTTGCAGTAATTTAGTTAGGATTATCTTTTAACTGTTAATATGGTATTTCATTACAGCCTGGGCGTTTCAGCCCAGACCTTAATTGACAAACTCTGACTGGATTCTATTTTACGTGCATCAGTGAACAGGAAAAATAGAGAGCAGCTGGGAGAGCATTGTCTGTCATTTGGTTTCCGGTTTGGACCTAAAATATGCATTCTCTTTATATTTTTCTTCAAGAGATAGTGGAGTTCTTTGGTGAGAAAAGGGAAACGGAGAGCATTTTGAGAAATGTAATGTGAGGTGCTAATGCCATTGTAATTGACTTTGGATTTTTTTTATTCATTATTCAAACAGATTTTACTTTTGAGTATGTGCAAAGAGAAGCTCTCAGAGTTCCCCTTATCTTCAGAAATAAGGATGGACTGGGAATTAAGTAAGTTACAACCAAATCTTGATGATTAATAAATGCTTTTATAAAATAACCATTATGCTTTCCACTTGTATGCGATATTTCTTTTGATGATCTCAAAATGTATTGCAATTAGTAAGACTGTCAGCACCCTTGAGAAGAGGAATGATTATTTTCCACTTATAAACAAGCAGATAATGAGGTCTATAAAAGTTAAGTGCATACGGGTGGTACTACACAATCAAAAATAAGTCTGTGATGAAAGTTAGGAATAAAATTCAAAGGTTCTTGCATCCAATTCGTGCTGTCATTGACAGAACAACCTCCCTTTAATTTTTGATTTCTCAATTGTTTTCTGCGTTACAGGTGGAATGTCTAATGATGTCTGTCATTTCCCATTATAATCGTATCTCTTCAGAATTTACAGCTTTGTAAATATTTAATAATGTCTAGTTAAAATGTGGTATTATTAGAGTCCTTTTGAGGTTGCATTTTGTTAATGTCCAGTCATAAACGACATGGTATTTTAATAAGAGAATCCTGCAAGTTTCTTTGTTACAAAGTGACAGTGCCTAAGAGAGAAATACTAAAATAATATACTTTATCAGCCACATAATCCATGCTTTAGATAAATGTTCCTTGATATTTTTGGAAATTAGGACTGTGTAACTGATTATATCTGAAAGATGGAAAATTAATTTTCTGAAAGCATAATTACTTTGCTCAGTTTCAGCTGGATCACCTCAAAGTTGAGGGAACTGAGGAGTCCCAATTATTTAATTAAAAAGAGTCAAGCCACCCCAATATAACT